ACTGGTAGTCTCGAAAATCTACTCAAATACGAAAAATAAGTAACGTAGTCGATGGTTATAACAAATATACATTTGCTTCATCGACAATCCCACCAAATAATATGATATGGCCTTCCTTGAAATTCACATCTGCCCCGTGACCCAGGGGTCACTCGTGGCAATGTGGTCGAGTGATGAACGTGTCAGGCTCCCATTCTGCACTGTCACAGTTCGACTCCCGCTGAGGGTGTTGATAAGACCAATGCGAGGTCGAAACTGCAGTTCACTCTTGTCTGGATGAGAACAACTTTTGGGAAAGCAAGGCAATGTGAAATTAAATGAGAACGTCAGCTCTACTCATATGATTGTGGTAAAATTCTTCTACCAGTCCTTCATCACCTTAAACCAAAAATTGGGTGAATACATCTCATATTACTGATTTACTGGTAGTTTCGAAACTTTACCTACATATAAAAATATAATGCCTTGGAAAGAGTCAAACTAATGCTTGTTGAATCCAGAAAAATGGGCGAATTATTGTACTTTCTTCGGGAACACTTTAAAAGAGAATAGAATCTCTAAGAATCTATTAAAAAGCCTTTTTGTATCTCTTCTTTTTTTTAAGATGTGTTGAAGGGATTCGTAAATTGGCTTTATTAGGCCGCAGAACGGTGCACTGAGGGCTTCTTCATATAAATCACATTTCACATATCTAAGCCTCTTCTTTCGGTTTCAAGTAAGCGATTTTACCAATTCCTCCCACTTGCCTTTTCATACAGAATTATAAAATGCGGCCGCTATACTGGCAACGAACAAAGAGAAGCTCAAGACTTTCCGTACCGAGCCTCATTTTGCGTATTATTTGAGGAAGGAAGACCTCTTTTTGATAATATATCAAGCTTACTTAAAAAGCCACATCGCAAAGTGTGCTTGTCTAGAAGAGGGCAATAAAAAAAATTCAGTCTGCTAGTTGTCATGTTTTTTAAGAAGCTATTTGATACCTCATTCTCATTAACGTACGACTTGATTGAGAAGAGATATAATCGCCAGCTTCGCTTAGAATTTGTTATTACATCAACTAAAAATGTTGCCGTGCAGTTGGTTCTTTGTGATACAAATATGAGGAATATCGAGTGAGTTTACAATGTTCATAAGCTTGCTTCTTCCGGGAGTAAAATGCACTTTCTTTGTGAACTCCTGTGCTATATGCGTCTTTCCATCGAGGCCCACTCGGCACCCTAAGTTCTATTTTTATACTTGCACTTTCGTTCTTCTTTATTTACACTTTATATACCCAATTTCATAAACGCAAGCACCATCATGCTCGTCTTCGACGAGACTTTCAACTCCGGATCCGATTTAAAGTGTTTTTCGCTTGCCACGAACTTTGCTACAACTTCAACACAGTTCGTTGTCACTTTAATCTTCGGCCATGCATTCTCCACTTAGGAGTTCCCACCTTTTTTACTGCTATACCAAAATTTCTGCTTTAGCCTAAAGTTGCATCGTCCTTTTCTCCTCATTTTTGCTCTTAGGCAGCATGCCGGCCTCTCATAACCCAATTTTCTGTATGTTCATTATTTCCTTCATTGTCATCTCCGCCTTCACGACGTAACCTCTTCGGCGTGTATCAGCTGACCAGGCTGGCCAACGACGCAGCTGAACAGGCGGCGCGCGATCGTCTCGCCCACGAGCAGGCTCTGGCCAAACAGCGAACAGTCCTTATGGGCGAAAGCAACCGGATACGTGGAGAGGCCGAGACCGCGGCTGCCGAGGCTTCGCGTCGACACGCCGAGGCTGTACGTGCCCTCAAGGCAGCCGCAGCACTCGAGGCGCACCGAAGGCGTAAAGAAACGTCTTCTGCGTCTGCGGCAGCAGCATCGAATGCAACCGCGGCGACATATACTTCGACTTTGAAGGCAGCGGCAGGAGAGATGAATATTCCATCCTCGACACCCTCTGAAGGGCAGGCACAAGCGGTGACAACAGAGTGTCTTGTCAGTTGTCTACGACAGGCACAAGAAGATCGGGCCAACTCTCTAGCCAAACTGGCAGAGGTTGAACTGAAAGCCAGACAGTTGGAACAAGCACTGGATACCGCTAATGTAGACATTTTTCTTTTTTTATGCTGTTTCAGAGAGCTAATCTGTTTATAGATTTTGCTGTATTCGATTTGGCCGTAGTCTTTTTTCGTTCTGTAGAATTGGTTTGACCTGGTTTTCGCAACTTAGTTGAGGTGAAATGCAGACCTTGAAGAGCATATACAGTCCAATTTTTCGTCTATAACTAGGCTCTCGAGGCCGCCAAGAAATCACATATATGAGGTGAATTCATCCTATTTCGTTTAAGATTATGAAAGACTGTTAGTTGAATATTCCCATTTCCATTCCATTTCACACAGCCTAGACTTTCCAAAAGGTATTATCGTCCAGGCAAGAGTGGACTGTAGTTTCGATCTCGTCTAGTTCATATCAACACCCCAGCAGGACGCAATCCAGAACAGTTCATCGTGTAATCTAGACACGTTAACCACTACTCCACATTTCCGAAAGTGCCATAGGTTCGCAGGGCACAGGAAGGTTTAACATTTTTCCATATCACATTCTGTCATGGGATTGTCGATGAAGCAAAGTCATATTTGCTATAGCACTTGATTACATTACTTATTTTTTATTTGTTTGTAGGGTTTCGAGACTACCAGTAAATCATATACATGAAATGTGTTTACCCTATTTCGTTTAAGGTGATAAAGGACGAGACAAAAGATAAATCATGTATTTGATTGATATGGCAAATATAACTTTGCTTCATCGTTAATTCCATATAGCATATACACTTTCTTCGTTTCACTGATAATTTACACCTTCGGGCCGTTGATTTGGTACATTCCTAGACGTCTCGCCCTTATCGACATTCAGGGGCACTATTCTTAGCACCGAACTAGAATTCATTTCTGAACAGAAGAGGAGCGATCTACTTGACGAGTTCTCTTTCGTTGCTAGGACTGAAACGAGGCCAAAGAAACGTCTCGAGGTCACCATCGCAACGATCCAATGATACAAACTATGAATAAAATTGTGGCAAAGGATGCATGATTATAAATACGAGATAGATTGCTCCACTTACTTGTCGTAGAAGTGATTTGGCACGGTTTACGTGACTTTGTTGCACCTTGTCAAGAGTCCGTTGTCATAAAAGTCATACAAATTTCCAGCATCAGACCGTGGACTCAATTTGTTCCCATAAATTTACCAGCTTCGTAGTTGACATCATCAGTGAGCCTAGCCTTTATTGGCATCAAACTAGAATTCATTAGAGTCAAGTTTTCTCCATCTATGACCAACTTTTTTTGCAGAACAGTTATATCTTTCCTTTTGTCCTCGTATATTCACTTAGTATCTCCCCACTCACCATCTAAGGGAGTAGCCTATTTTCGCCTACTCCAGAGGTGTGGTCGCTTGTGCGGATTCCGTTAGGTCTATTCACACTTCCAGCTGGCTTCCAATTTTTCCCCTCCTCCATACTAGAAATGATAATCCAATGCGGCTTTTTCAGTCTGCAATATACTTAAAGTCATATAACAGTCATCCTTGTACCCTGGACGATCTATCTCCTGTCTCTGTAATTCATCTATTTCACCTGATCACTGCCGTCTAACGCGCTTTACTCGAGAAATAATCTCCCATAGAATTCCTCAAGTATTTGATACCACGTATACTCTAGCCCCACCCAGCAGGCCTACAGGTCTGGGTGATTGAATACCTTAGCACTGTACGTCCTTTTATCTAATTTCGGCACGTAAACAGGTTAATTTCGTCGTCAAGCCTTTACTTCACCTATCACCTGCATGATTGAACCCCTGCGATGGGAGTAAACTGTACCAGGTCAGATATTTAGTGCAGGGCTTGAGCTCACTTGTCTCTTTAACGAGTTTTTGCTTAGTGATGATACTGGCCAAGCTCTTTAACTATGCGACCATTATTGCAGCGAAACTTCTAAGAATGCACAAAGTCCACATTGCGAAGCTGGAAATCATCATAAATACTATTACAGAGGGCTGTGTACATAGCGCTCTCATCTGGTTCGTCCTGAACGCGCAAACATGTTTCGAAAACGAGATCAATCCAAGTCTATGCAATGAAAGGAGATTGCGACTAACTAGAAGCTATTACGTCTTATTCTTCATACCCCTGGTTGCTTCTCATAGTTCGCCCATCAATCTATCTAATTTGGTATCATTACCCTGAAATTTCGTATACCTTCTTTCCGCATAAATGATCATTAATTCAAAATAATAGTGTGACTTTATTTTATTCAAACCTTTCACCACAAGCAAATGTTAATTTTAAACGTGATTGTTCGATTAAACTTTTGATACTAAATAGAGTCGATTGAGTGAGACAATGTCGCATTTATTCTGTATTCGTTAAAATTTGCTTT